GAAGTGGGATCTGCTGGAGGTGACACTTAATTATGTTGATTTATGATGTGTTTTATACTTTGGATTATCAATGTTGGAACAGTCGCCAAAATGCACTGATCATTCAATTGGGACACCCACTCCATCTTCGAGCAAATTTCAACACTTTATTAACAACAATCGATACGCCATCTATCAATGAAAAGCTATAATAATTTAGCAACAATAGGTACAACAGTAACCTTTCAATGTTATTCCGACAGGTGGCATAGCCGAATATGACATTCCTCATGGTAACAGGAAATAGGTTTTTTGAATTTTTGTCTTAGGTGCTCTCCATTTTGTTTCGCACCTGAAAGGGAAGAAACGTCCCGAAATAAAATAGAATTAAGAATGTAATCTCTCTAATATTTTATAATTCTAATTAATGTTGTGTTTGTTTGAACAACTTAACATATATTTATTGTGACCAATAAGTGGAAGGATGTCTCCAATGTTGGCAAAGGTAGTCAAAAGTCCATTATGTGATTGACTCACTTTGCACACAGGGTAAATATTCCCTTAATTCAGTATTGCCTATTATTATCTAACATCTTATTTTCAAATTGTAGCCTTGAGAAAGAAAATAAACATTTTCGAAAGCTTGGCGTAGCAGAAAAGAGTTTTTTATTGAACTAGTCCCGAAGAAATAGGCTGATACCCCAAGAAATTAATAACTTTGTTTCGTTAACTAGTCAGCCAAGACTACCCTCTAACTATATATATATATATATATATATATATATATATATATATATATATATATATATATATATATATATATATAAACAATGGGAGTTTCTTGGGGTATCGGTCGTCTTTGGTGATTGTGGCCTTTAGATAATTAGTTGCTATTGACTGTTCTTGGCAAGCAGCGATGAGAGACTCTGTTTCCACTTTCAGTTCTCCATACTTAAGCCATTCCCTTTATGCCTAAATAAAAGAAAGGATATTCAAGATCTCAGTAGTATTTATTCGAACCTACTTACATCTAATTAAATTTATTCCTAAAATTACCTAACTGGTCTAGTGATGACACCAAAAATCAATGTCTATGAGAAACTAGTATTTATACACTTCAAAATTTTATTCTACATATTCTTCTATCTCTTCTATTTTTCTTATATCTATCAATTATTGTTTATTAATTATTTTTCCATATTTTTAACATTTATATTCTGTACAGTTTGATAGTCAAAATAGAATAACAACAATTTTCCGACAATTTGAAAGCTTTTCGACTATAAAATTCTCACTTTGCAAGTAAGTTATAGTTAAAAATTTATATGTCCTAGTCATAGTTTTGATTATTCATAATAATAAGATCTTTTATATTGTTGTAGCCCTGACGAAGGCAATAAATAATTGCCGAAAGCTCGGCTTAGTGGAAAAAGAGATTTTTATTTCCTAGCCCTTCAAGACGACCGATACCCCAAGAAACTCCCATTGTTTATAAATTGTCCGGTCAAGATACTCTGTAAATATATATATATATATATCTATATATATATATATAAGGTAGGTTGTTTTTTGTTTTTTATCTACCAGTGTTATATCAGGTCTATTGGCCGGTATTGTTTTGTCTGTGTGAATTGTCAAGTCGTAGTATAGTTTGTAGTTTTTATCTTCGAGAATGCTTTCGGCTGTATATTGGTAGTATGCTTTGGTGTGTTTTATAAGGTTATGTGATAGCGCAATTTCTTGGTGTATTATTTTTGCTGCTACATTATGTCTTTCTGTATATGACGTTCCTGCTAGAATTTTACAGCCCCCTATGATATGCTCTACATTTTCTTGTTGTAGGTGACATTTTCTACATAGATCATTATCTATGTTATACTTCAATATGTGTTTTTGGTAACTTTTTGTGGCGATCACTTGATCCTGAATAGCAAGTAGGAATCCTTCAGTTTCTGGAAACAGTTCACCTTTTTGTAACCATTTATATGTGCTTTGTCTGTCAATATTCTCTTTATTCATTATATGTAAGTGTTTCCCATGAAGGGTTTTCTGTGCCCACTGTTCGCTTCTTTCTTCACGATATGTTTTTTCGCATATTGTAGGATAGTTCTTTTCTGTAAGATTAAGTGGTGTATATCCATTGTCAGCTAGTGATATTGCTTCATGTAGGGGGTTTGATTTACCATGGAAGAAGCTTCTTAGAATTTTTATTTGTCTTGCATGCAGTAGGTGAATATCTATAAGTCCTTTTCCTCCGTCTTCCCTCCTTATGACCATTCTCTCTTTACAGGCATTAGGGTGGTGTTTCCTGTGTATTGTGAGTTGTTTATTTGTGGATTGGTGGATTTTGTCTATGTCGGTTTTGTCCATTTGATTATTCCAAAGGAATACGTGAGAAGGGATATAGCGAATGTGTTTATTGCTTTAAAAAGGTTTTTCGAGTTCAATTTGGATTTAAGGAGCAGTTTTAAACGAAGAATGTAATGCCTTAGCAATTCCTTTTTGATGAGAGTGTGATCCAGCCTCGTATTTTGCTCAAATCCTAAGTACTTATAAGTTTCGTTCTCGTGCATTTTGTTTAGTGTCTGCTTCTGTAATGTTTCATCCCTTCTGAATTACTAACATTTTACATTTACTCATGCCGAATTCCATTCTGATGTCTGTTGTTATATCTTCTACCGTTTTAAGTAAACCTGTCATTTGTGTTTTTGTTGAAGCATAGATTTTGATATCGTCCATGTAGAGTAGGTGGTTTATTTTGTGATTTTATTTTCGTGCTTTATGTTGAATCCGTATGATGTTGAGTTTAGAGCATTAGATAGAGGATTTAGGCATAGACAGAACCACAGTGACTTAGCGAGTCGCCCTGGAAAATTCCGCGGTTGATGGGTATATGGTCTGTTTGCAAATGCTCATTGTCTGTATTTAAATGAATTTTTGTTTTCCATTTCGTCATGGTTGAAGAGAGAAAATTGCAGAGTATTGGGTGGATTCTATAGATTTGTAATACTTTTCTTAGCCAAGAGTGTGGGACCGTGTCAAATGCTTTTTTATAGTCGATGTAGCATGTATGTAGGTTTCTGTGCTGTTTTTCGACTTGTTTCTTAATCTCACTATTGATAATTAGCTGTTCTTTACATCCCTGACTGTTTTTCCGACATCCCTTCTGTTCCTCTGTAAGTAAGTTTTGATCCATTAAATGTTTCTCTATTTTTGAACATATGCATGAAGCAATTATTTTGTAAAGATTTTGTAGACATGTGATTGCCGATTGGCCTATAATTGGCTGGGTTTTTTGTGTCATTACCTTTCGGTATTAAATAAGTATTTCCTTCAGTTAAGAACGCCGGTAGGGAGTCAGGGTGTGAAATAACTTTATTTATTTCAGATGCGAGGGATGGGTGAAGGGCCGACAGTTGTTTATACCAAAAGTTGTGTATTCGATCTGTTCCTGGGCTTATCCAATTATGTGTTTTACGTATAACTGCGAGTAATTCTTCTGTAATAATTTTGTAATGTGTTTGCTCTTTCACGTTTGATTGCCTATCTTCTTCATGTTTAATCCATGCTGCTGTACTATTGTGTTTTACATTTTCAGACCATATGCTCTTCCAGAAAGATGACATATCTGTTACGGTAGGAGGTGTGATTTTTGTTTCCCTTTTTTTCGTCAGTTTATTGTAGAATAATTTTTGGTTTGTGTTGAAATGTAGGTTATCTGCTTTCCTATCATTTGATTCTTTGTATCTACGTAGACGTCCTGCATACACCAAAAGTTTCTGTTTAAAGGTATCAAGAATTTCTGGCATTGGTTGTTGGTTATTTTTTATTATTTCTTTAATGTGTTTTACAATATTTCTTGATCGGTTTCCCTGCAGGTATTGTGTTATTCTGCCTATGCCTTGCCTTAGATTTTGTATTCTTTGTTCTATCCTCACTTGCCATTTGGGTTTTTTTGGTGTTCTATTCTTGGTATATGAAGCATGTTCCGTTATTTTTTGATCATTGCACTTTAGAATGGTCGAAGCAGCCGAGTATACTATTGTTTGAAGGTGTTCTAGAGAGCATTCCGGTTTTATATGATTTTTCAGGATCTGTTCGTTCATTATCTTTATAAGAATGTGACTGTTTCGTTTAAAGATAAGCCGAGGTAAAGGTGGGCGTTTTGTTGGGTCACTGTATTTCCATATTGTCATATTTGTTTCCATTTCCCGCGTCAAATTTTGTTGTATGTTTTCGAGAATTTCGGTTGGTTTTGTAATATTCTCACTGGGAGTATGAAATAAAATGAACTCTTTGTCATGTGATTTTTCTGTTTGATGTGGTGATTCTAATGTGATATCATGTTCATGGCTTCCCACTTGCTCTTCATTGATTATTTTTCCAACTTCTTCTTTAATATTTTGCAGCTCATGTGTTGTAAGTCTCTTGTTGTTTATAATTACACGTTTTTGGTCCATTAGTCGTTGTGCTGTTACATGTTGGTTAAGATGTGGGTATTGCTTAACGAGAAGTTTATGAAGTTCTAAGCGGTATCCTATTTTGATAATTTCAAGTTTAGTTGCTAAGTAATAACAGCGCATGACAGTTTTGTTCATCTCGTCTGTCATTCCATACGTTGTCGAATACATCCCGCTTTGGTGGTGGCATTTTCGATTTGCGAAACACTTTTAGCAGGTCTGGAGGGTCTGGTTTCATCTTGTTTTCGTGCTTTAGTTGTAGGTTTTTGTTCAATGATGTAATGTTTTCTTTAATGATGTTCTCTGGTGTAATGAGTTCAAAGTGTCCATTTTCTGGGTTGCCAGTTAAAAGAAGATGTACTGTTTTGTTGCTAGGATTTTCAAACTTTATCGGATTTTCGTGTATTGTTATCTTCTTTTGGTGTGTTTTTTCTTGTCTTAAGTATACGTAGATATTTAGGTGATAATTGTCGTTAATAGCGTGTATTTCTAGGCTAGTACCATACGTGCTGATTTGTGACATATACTAACAGTAGGTTTGAGCATCTTAGGAGCGCTCACCATTTTCTACTACGTATATTTTGAGAGCAGACCAGTTGTCATGGATGTAGTTGGTGGTGTTCATCCTGATCTGTTGATGTTGGTCTTGACTCCCGTACAAGAATACACTTATTGCTCTGAATAGACAACTTCCGTCCCCTACAATGTCTGACCTTAAAAACCTTTTACCTGATTCGTTGCGAGTTCTTACGGTGCCGTTATCCAGAGAGGTGCCGTTTGCTCCATCCTTCTCCGGATCAGGCTGAGTCTTTGGGTGGTTCCGAGAAAAATTAGCCTGCAATTCCTCACCAACCTGTTTTTTATTCTTTCTGTTGATTACAGCTAGTGGAGATCTCAATATAAGGGTAGCTAACCCGTACATCGGTTGCTGGGGTCTGCAGGGTTGCGCCCCGTGGTCCTAAGACCCCCCATGCAGGCGAAAATGGCTGTACAGGATTCGCGTCGTTACCTGTAGCAAGTTTGATACTGCTGGTTACAGTACCCTTATTGGCCAGACATTAGGTTGCTGATTTTAGTCCACCCCGGGATTTTTATTTCCCCGGAACCCTCCAGCTTAACCTGGCGAGTGTCCCCATCGCCAGGGGCGGGCCCGATAGCTGATCAGCAACAGCCACGGGTTATTATTATAATTTTTTTTTTTTTTTTAGGGTGGACAAAAAAAACCTCCAAAAGGCATTTGGTTAAGGTGTTGGGTACCAAATAGTCTGGGATTTTTGCCGCACTAAAAAAAGACCACCCTAGAGCATCAACAGCAAGGTTATTAGCTCATAAAACAAGTACTGTGTATATAAATATTTTCGGTAGTATCTAGTATCACAGATGGCGAGTATCCTAGATGGTAAGTATCACATTATAGTAAGTATCACAGACTTATATTTGTTCCTAAATTTTATCAAATAGATTAATATCTTTGATGTAGTCGAGTATGTTTCTCATGTTTTCTTTTTTCAGTTTATCTTCTGTGCATGGCCCTAAACCATAGAGTTGTCTTTGAGCATTGAAAACAGGACATTCACTAATGATATGACTAATTGAGAGAGTTACATTACACTGATCACATGTTGGTGCTTGTTCTCCTTTAAGAAGATGTTGGTGTGTTAGATTTGTATGTCCTGTACGGAGTCTAAATGCTTTTACCGTTTCGAGTTTATTCGAACTTGTCGATTCATATTTCTGTTTAATTGTTGGTTCTATTCTACGAAATAACGTATCTGTTTCGCTCCATATATCCTGCCACTCATCTCTAATTTTGCCTTTCAGATTGTTTATAAAGTCTATTCTTTTCATGGTACCGTTATTTGCTACTTGGGCGTCATTTCGATCATCAACAAGTATGTCAGGGAGTTCGACACCGATTTTCCCCAAGTATTCTAGATAGCGCACTGCAAGAGGACGAGTAATGGTGTTTCTATTAGAATATTGGTTTTCGTCAGGAAATAAGAATTCGTTGTTCGGATTTTTGGGATAAGATTTGACACCTGTTAGGTAAGTTGTCATTAGGATTTTTCTTCTTTGTTCTAGAGGCATTATAGCAGATTCACAATAAAGACTTTGGACAGGGGTAGTTGGAAAGGCATTTAAACAATAGCGTAGTCCTATATTTTGAATTCTGTCAAGTACTGCTAAGTGACTTTTTCTTGCTGAGGAGTAAGCTATACTTCCGTAATCTATTTTGGACAACATTAGAGATTTATATATCATGAGAAGACTTTTTGTATCAGCTCCCCATTTAGTATGCGCTAGGACTTTCAGAATATTAAGAGATTTCCGGCATTTGTGTTGATTCGATTAATGTGTTCGCACCAGGTAAGTTTGTTGTCGAACGTTAATCCCAAGAACTTAAAGTTATCAACACACTCAATAATATTATCATTTAAATACAGCATTGGGTCGTAATGAGGTTTTCTGAGTCGGCAGAAATGCACACATTTAGTTTTCTCTTTGGAGAACTTGAAACCAACTTTTTCGCCATTCTTGATTATGGTGTTTATTGCCGGTTGTAATATGCGTGTAATGTCTCCCACCTTCTTTGCACTACAGAAGATTGCCAAATCATCAACGTAGATGCATTTCTTGATTTCCTGATTGACATCTTTACAAATTTCGTTTATGGCAATCGCAAAGAGTGTGCAGCTAAGCGTAGATCCTTGCGGGACTCCATTCTCTAGTGGTCGAGTTGATGACAACTCTTACTTTGAAATTTCTGTTTTCAAGAAAGGATTTTATCATCAACGGCAATCTTCCTTTTAGTCCAAACTTAGACAGTTTATCGAGAATTCCATAGCGCCATGTCATATCGAAGGCTCCTTTTATGTCAAAGAAAGTAGCCACTAAGTGTTCCCTTTTTCGAAATGCTTCTTGGATTGAATGTTCTAGTAATACTAAATGATCTACTGTTGATCGCTTCTTTCTATACCCTGCTTGGTAGGGAACTAATAAGTTATTGACTTCTAGATAATACTGCAATCTGTTGTTTATCATCTTTTCAAAGAGTTTGCCCATACAGCAGGTAAGACTAATAGGTCTTAAGCTGGATGGTGTCAGTCTATCTTTATTAGGTTTAGTTATAGGTACTACCAGAGCCTCTTTCCAGGATTCCGGGTAAGTATTTTCATCCCATAGTTTGTTGTAAAATTTTAACAATATCTCTTTCATTTCTGGTGTTAGATTTTTCAGCATATCGTTGGACTGCTGGAGTACCTCATCAAGCTCTTTCTTACTGAAAGGCAAATTATATTCTAGGTCATTTTCTGTGGTAAAATCTATATTTATTTCTACATTGTTTTTTATGTGTAAAAAGCTTGGATCATAATTGTTGCTGCTACTGACTCTTTCAAAGTGTGTTGCTATTATGTTTGCTATTTCTACAGGGTCGGTGGTTATGGATCCGGTTTCTGTTTGTATAGAGGTAATTAGGTTATTTGTGTAAATACCCGATACTGCTTTCACCTTCTTCCACACAGTTTTTATTTCCGTATCTGGCGTGATTGTTTTGGTGTACTGATTCCAGGTATCTCTTTTGTTTTTAAGTATGGTTCTTCTTGCGGTTGCTCTAATTTTTTTAAATTTTACTAGGTTTTCAGTAGTAGGACTTCTTCTAAACTCGTTAAAAGCCTGTTTTTTGAGTTTCGTTATATTTTTTGTTTCTTCATTCCACCAAAGTACAGATTTTTTGAAAGGTTTACCTCCAGATTTCGGTATACTTAAATTTGCTGCGGCCAGTATGCAGTCTATTATATTTTTCACGCCAAGATCTGTTGGCAGTTTAACAGAGTTTCTAAACTTATTCCAGTCAGCTTTATGTGTGTTCCATTTAATAGGTAGAGTATTTATAGTTTTTGGTGTATCCAGTTCAATGTGTATTGGAAAGTGGTCGCTGTTGTGCAAATCATCATCCACAATCCAGTTAAGTTTCGTCAGCAGATCAGAAGTTGCCAAAGTTAGGTCGATTGCTGAAAAGTTATTGGATTTTTCATTAAAATGCGTTGCAGATCCCGTATTCACTAGAACAAGATCATCTCTCTCTAACCATCTCTCCAGAACACGCCCCTTTGTGTCTGTTATCAAAGAGCCCCAAAGTGTATTGTGGGCGTTGAAGTCTCCCACCACAACATAGGGGGGGGATAGTTGTTCTATTACTTGATCAATTTGTTCAATTGTCCACGCTATATTAGGCAGGTAGACATTACATATGGTTATCTTTAAAGGACTGATCACCTTGACTGCTACAACCTGTAGATCACTACGTATTTGAATATCGGTGAAGATGACATCGTGTCTCAAGAACAGTGCGACACCTCCATGCGCCCTCTCACCACCTTCCGCCTCTCGTCTTATCATGGAGTAATTTTTCAATGAATATGCTTGATTTGGTTTTAGGTGCGTTTCTTGTATAGCCATACATATCGGATCGTGCTCTTGTAAAATCAGTTTGATGTGACAATAATTGTGTATACATCCTCGACAATTCCATTGAATGATTTTGTTGGACATTTGTGGTATTGATGAGGTACAAACAAAACATGTAAATATGAGACAGGTACAAGAACAGATAATGTATAATTATTAATTTATCACAGATTCAGTAATTTACTTTGACTAGTCATTATTGTTAGGTGGTTTCCTGGGTCTCCCCTTTGGCGACCCCTTAGGTTTCTTAATTTTGTTGTCGGAGAATTCCGGTTCAAAGGCAGAACTTTCTCCTCCGCTCGATTCTCCAGTATTTGTAGGTGGTCTTTTTCTTTTTTCATACGGTACCTCAGAGGCAATCGAAGAAGCCGATTCTCTTCGACAACGTTCTGACGGAATCATTTCAGTTTTAGAGACAAATACTAATTTGAGTTCTTTTATTAATGTAGGTATTAATTCATTTATTAAGTTTTTAATATTAAAGTTTTCTTTTGTTTCAGGTAAGGCGGCTGTTGCATGAGCATAACTGATGTTCTTTGGAGTATTTATTACGACTTTTTTTCTTGCTTCAAAATAATTAATATTTTCTTTAAGTTTTAATTCCTGTATTGCTATTTCTGTTTTATAAGTTGGGCAGTTGCGTGATCGTGCGGAGTGTTTGCCGCCACAGTTCACACAGAGAACTTCGCTACCACAGGCATTACCATCATGGGGTGGTTTTCCGCACACACATATCTGTGGTTGATCACACTTCACTGAAGTATGACCGAATTTTTGACATTTCTAACATCTTAATGGAGGTGGTACATACTGCCTAACTGGTATATTTAAGTACCCTGCTTTTATATGCTTCGGGAGTTTGGAATTATTAAAAGTCAAAATATGCGAGGCAGTGTCCTGTAGTTCTCCATTAATTTTGGTTTTAATTCTTTTCACATCAATAACTCCAGTCGATTTCAGTTCATCCAGAATTTCTTGCTCAGAACAGCAAAGTAAGTCACGACTATAAACAACACCTTTAGAAACATTTAAGGATTCATGACGCAAGACAGACACGGGTAAATCTAACAGCTTGTTAACAGTTAGGAGCTTACCAGATTGAGCTGCTGAAACGGTCTCTACAAGTAAACCTTGTTTAGTTTTCTTTATTTGTTTTAGTTCTCCAACTAAACCGTTGAAGGCCTTATTAATGCCAAACGGACTAATTTTATCAAAATTCAAACCATCCACTCTCTGTATCACCAAGAACCGCGCATGAAGCAGCTTTTCCTGGCTGATATTATTGTTCTTTGTGGGTTCAGTACTCCTATCGCCCTTAGTAGGGGTTCTCGAAATTGAGGTACTCCTCTTGAAAGGATCATTCTCCTGTTGGTTGTCTCCACTTTGGGGGAGAGACGGCCCCTGTATTTGGGTATTTGTTCCTGACATTCTGGTCCCACGAGTAACCAAGGTAAGTAAGTCACCTACAGCAGAGCCTGGATACTGCAGGAAGGCGTTTATACTGTTGGGTGCGCCTGGTGCCCCACAGGTTTTTGCGACTTCGCTGTCGGATTTTTAGAGTGTTTTTCTTCACGTAGGCCAGCCGATTAAGGCAAGCCCCCCGGTCACATGGGACACCCAACTTACCACAAATACGCCTACTTTGGGTTGTTGAAGGGCTCCCCGTGATTACGGTATGTAGTCAGGGACTCGGAGGTCAGCCCCTGACAGCTAGGGTACCTCGGGTTTGCCATTCCCGTGTCAGATTTTTCATCTGACCCCTGAGGGGTCATTATTATTATTATTATTATTTTTTTTTTTTTTTTTTTTTTTTTAGGGTGGACAAAAAAACCTTCAAAAGGCATTTGGTTAAGGTGTTGGGTACCAAATAGTGTGGGATTTTTACCGCACTAAAAAAGACCACCCTAGAGCATCAACAGCAAGGTTATTAGCTCATAAAACAAGTACTGTGTATATAAATATTTTTGGTAGTATCTAGTATCACAGATGGCGAGTATCCTAGATGGTAAGTATCACATTATGGTAAGTATCACAGATCTATATTTCTTCCTAAATTTTATCAAATAGATTAATATCTTTGATGTAGTCGAGCATGTTTCTCATGTTTTCTTTTTTCAGGTTATCTTCTGTGCATGGCCCTAAACCATAGAGTTGCCTTCGAGCATTGAAAACAGGACATTCACTAATGATATGACTAATTGAGAGAGTTACATTACACTGATCACATGTTGGTGCTTGTTCTCCTTTAAGAAGATGTTGGTGTGTTAGATTTGTATGTCCTGTACGGAGTCTAAATGCTTTTACCGTTTCGAGTTTATTCGAACTTGTCGATTCATATTTCTGTTTAATTGTTGGTTCTATTCTACGAAATAACGTATCTGTTCCGCTCCATATATCCTGCCACTCATCTCTAATTTTGCCTTTCAGATTGTTTATAAAGTCTATTCTTTTCATGGTACCGTTATTTGCTACTTGGGCGTCATTTCGATCATCAACAAGTATGTCAGGGAGTTCGACACCGATTTTCCCCAAGTATTCTAGATAGCGCACTGCAAGAGGACGAGTGATGGTGTTTCTATTAGAATATTGGTTTTCGTCAGGAAATAAGAATTCGTTGTTCGGATTTTTGGGATAAGATTTGACACCTGTTAGGTAAGTTGTCATTAGGATTTTTCTTCTTTGTTCTAGAGGCATTATAGCAGATTCACAATAAAGAGTTTGGACAGGGGTAGTTGGAAAGGCATTTAAACAATAGCGTAGTCCTATATTTTGAATTCTGTCAAGTATTGCTAAATGACTTTTTCTTGCTGAGGAGTAAGCTATACTTCCGTAATCTATTTTGGACAACATTAGAGATTTATATATCATGAGAAGACTTTTTGTATCAGCTCCCCATTTAGTATGCGCTAGGACTTTCAGAATATATTATTATTATTATTATTATTATTATTATTATTATTATTATTATTATTATTATTATTATTATTATTATTATTATTATTATTATTATTATTATTATTATTATTATTATTTTTTTTTTTTTTTTTTTTTTTTTTTTTTTTTCTCCTTATTGGGATCTTATCCATCTATGTCGGACTTGCGTCAAGACATAGTAGATGTGTGTATCAACGAAGAAAAGATCTCACTATACTTACGGCATCTATGACAACTGCTTTTTGCATGTCCGTTGATATTTTGTAATTCAGGTTTAGCTTGCCTAGATTGATCTGCAGGCTCTTTGGTACCAATCCCATAGAGGATACTATTATGGGGACTATTTCCACTTTTTTCAACTGCCATACTCTCAGAATTTCTATTGTCAGCTGTTCATATTTTGTTGTCTTCTCGATTTCTTTAGTTCTAATGTTTTGATTGTTGGGTATTGCTATATCTACAAGTAGAGCTGTTTGGTTTGTTTTGTTGATAATCACAATATCAGGTCTGTTGTGAATCACCTGGCGGTCTGTCAGTATCGATTTGTCCCAGTAGACTTTATGCGTTTCATTCTCAACAACAGGGTGCGGTTTGTATGCATAGTATGGCGCTTCATCAGGTACATTTAAATTTAGCATTTTTAGGCATTCTATATATATGATTGTCGCTATTTTGTTGTGTCGTTCGATATATCTTGTCTTCGCTAAGTTTGGACATGCCGATAGTATGTGTTCGATTGTTTCCCGTTCTGTGTGACATTTTCTACATTTGTCGTTGATATTTTCTCGAAGAATGTACCGTCTGTAGTTAGCTGTCATTACCACACGGTCTTGAATGGAAAGCAAAAAGCCTTCACTTTCCGGATAAATGGTTCCTTTAATTAGCCATTGAACGCATGCTTGTGTGTCTATATGTTCCTGATGGAGTTCTCCATAGAATCGTCCATGCAACTCTTTCGCAGCCCATTCCCGCGCTCTCTGAGTGACGTCATTTGTTGTGAAAGGTAGGTAACGGGGTTCTCTTAGATTTAGTGGCGACAGTTTTCGGTCTGCATCGACTACTGTTTTGTGTAGGTGTTTATCTGTTCTTGCAAAGTACAAACGCAGTTTCTTTATTTGTTCATTGCACAGATTCACTAAGTCGAGCAGGCCCCTTCCTCCCATCTTCCTAGGTAAGTATACACGGTGTGTGCTGGATCTTGGATGATGTTTTCTTGTGCGCGTCATTAGCGTCCTTACCTTTCTGTTAAGGGCTTCAAGTTCTGTTTGTGACCACGTTACGACACCAAAGGAATAGGTAAGTATGGATAATGCAAATGTGTTAATTGCAGTGATACAATTAATTGAATTTAGGTGACTTTTCAGGACAGCTTGTACTCTTTCCTCAAATTTCTTGGTAAGTTTTTCTTTAATTTGTTTGTGTTGAGTCCTGTTTCTCTGCATCATTCCTAAATACTTGTAGCTCTCGTCACTCATGGCTGGAATGACAAGGCCGTCGTCAAGTTCAACGCCTTCTGCCTGAATGAGGTTTCCTCTCACAATGTTGACGGTTTTGCATTTTTCAATCCCGAATTCCATGCCTATGTTGCTGCTCATATTATGTACTAGTTTTAGGAGTATTTCAAGTTGCTTTTTATTGGCTGAGTACATTTTGAGGTCATCCATAAAAAAGAGGTGACTAAGCAGGTAGCTCGTCTGTTCTCCTTTCAACGTGTATCCATATTGTGTGTGTTTTAATGCATTGGATAAGGGATTTAGAGAAACGCAAAACCACAGAGCGCTCAGAGCATCTCCTTGGAAGATTCCGCGTCTTATTTGAATGAGTTTTGTTTCAATTCTATTTTGATTGTCGCCAATGACAAGCTTCGTGTTCCATTTCTCAGTATTGTATCGTAGAAAATTGATAAGAACAGGGTCTATTTTATAGATTTCCAGAACGTGAATGAGCCAGCTATGTGGTACAGAATCAAACGCCTTCTTATAATCCACATAAGCCATGTAAAGATTTCTTTGTGTGGTTCTTGCTTGTTCTAGAATAACATTGTCTATAGTGAGCTGTTCCTTGCAACCTTGAGCTTTCTTTCTACAGCCTTTTTGTTCTTCTGTGAGAATATCACGTTCTTCTAGATAGATATAAATTTTTGTACATAGGATTGAGGTAAGTATTTTGTACATTGTTGGAAGACACGTGATAGGCCTGTACTGAGATGGATCTGCGGTATTGTTGCTCTTTGGAATCAGGTATGTTATGCCCTTTGTTAAGAAACTTGGCATTTTGCTGGGATCTTCGATTATTTCTTGAAACTGATTTGCCAGGTAAGTATGCGTAGCTTTTAGTCTTTTATACCAGAAGTTGTGGATACCGTCGTTTCCGGCGGCTTTCCAGTTGGCAGTTTTTAGAATTGCTTGTGTTACGTCTGCGTTTGTTATTGTCATTTTTTCCATGGGTTCTGTTAGTGAATATCGCATGGTTTCGTCTTTTATGAAGGTAGCATCTCTTTTGTGTTCCACCTCCCTAGACCATATGTTCGTCCAGAATTGTTCGGTTTCTTTTTTCGTCGGGATTTCAGTTGTTGGCATCTGTTCTGTGTTGGTGATTTTTCGATAGAAAGCTTTCTGATTAGTATTAAATAAGCGGTTTTCTGTTTTTCTGAGGTATGAGGTTTTATAGCGCTTTAGTCTAGCTGCGTATACAGATAGCCGTTGTTTGAGGGTATCTTTGTGATCCACAATTTCTGGTATCGTTTTTGCATCTACTGAGAGAGAAGTTAGTTTTCTTATGAGCTTCTTGCTTCTGTTTCCATTAAGATACTGTTTTAATCGGCCAATATCTGCTCTAATACAATCAATTTTTCGCTGGAGCCGCTGTTCCCACGGTGGAGGAGTTTGGTTTTGTACACTTTTCGATATTTTTATTTGTTGTTTGTTTCCTATAATGATGGTCTTTGCAGCACAGTAGACAGACGTGTTGATTTCTTCGAGATTCATTAGTGGACTCAGTCGTCTTTCCAGAAAGGCATCGACTCTCTCTATAAGACGGTTGGTATTAGTATAGAAGTGCAGTTTGGGAAGCCTTATTCGGTTTTCTGGTATCATGCCTGCGACTTCAGTTAGGAACTTCTCGAATATATCTTCAATTCCGACATCTGTAATTTGATCAGTGGGTGTCCCTTGTTGTAGTACCGGAATGGGTCTGTTTGGCGGTGTGTGTCTTGTTTGTCTTGGGCTTGATCGCCTACTTTTTGGTGTACTTCCGGGTCTACTTGTGTTTGCGGTTGTATTTCCATTTATTTCTGCTGAGATCTCATGTTTAATTTGTTCTATTACAATAGGCGGTATTAAATTGCGAGTGACAATTATACGCTTTTGATCCGCTATTCTACCTACTGATAAAGCAGCAAGATCAGGTCTCAGATTTACAAATTCTTCGTGTAGTTTTTGCCGGTATAGTGTGAGATCTGTCCCTAG